CCCATCCTCCATTTATTTTTCTGCAGTATCCTGTAAATGGAGTACATAAATTCTCAAAGTCTATTTTTTTTTAATATCTGCAATGCGTGACTGTAACATGCAATATGCATGCATGGTATGTTATTTCATCATTTGGTCCAGAGGCAATTTTCATGCTACCATTTGTCTTATAACTAGGTGTTAGTTTTCTTTCAAGCTTTACAAGTATGGAAATTACAAAGGTGTTACATAATAAGTTTTCTGTTTTCCGTGATTCCCACACATACAAATTGGAAAGATTACCTGGCCAGGAGAAGTGACGTTTCAGAGACAAAGCAGTTAACTCGATTTTAAAACACTGAAGAAGCCTCTTGATTGTTCTGCATTTCTTTGTCTTCATTTGCCAAAGGAGGGAATTAAATGACCTTGAAAACCTATTCTATAACTTCAAAAAAGCATCAAAATAATCGAGTAAAGTATACATACACACATACACACACAGAGAGAAAAGAAAGAGTTGCTTATTTTATCTGAAAGGCAGAATTATGGGGGTTGGGGTGAGAAGAGAGATATTATCTATGCATTGATTCATTCCACAGATAGCCACAACAAGCAGAGCTGCACCAGGCTGAAGCCAAAAGCCAGGAAATTCTTCTGCTTCTCCCACATGCGTAATAGGGACTCAGCTACTTGGATCATCTTTCACTGTTTTCCCAAGCCATAATTAGCCTGGAGTTGGATTGGAAGTGGAACAGCCAAAACACCAACCTTATATGAGATGTTGGCAGCAGCTTAATCTGCTGTGCCACAATGCGATCCCCAGTGAAGTAATTTTTAAAAACGTTTTGTGTGAGGAGTGGGTGTTTGTTGCAGTATTTAAGATGTTACATAAGCGCCCATTGCTGCGACGACAGGGGGCAGAAGTGGGCTGGTGAGGAGGGATTGTCCCCAGTGCTGGTGCTGCTCCCTTTGCACCTTGGTAGTGCGTTGTGACTTGCTTTGGGAGACTGGGAAGGCATTGGCAGAGAAGGTGGCTGGGGTGGCTGGTGGTAGCGGTGGGTTCGACCTGCCCTGAGATGCCAGATAGGATGCCTGTATCTTATGTCGGACTGTCTGGATTCAAACCCTACCTCTGCATCTAATTCCAGTTTGCTTCGAATGCACGACCTGAAAGACAGCAGGTGATGGCTCAGTGATTGGATCTCTGCCACCCAGTGGAAACCTGGATCCAGTTCTGAGACCTTGCTTTGACCCATCCCAGCCCTGGCTGTTCCAGGCATTTGCGGGGTGAACTGGCAGATGGCAGATCACTCCCTCGCCCTTCTATCCTTCCTTTTTAGTGGAATAAATCAATAAAAATAAATGAAAAGTATTGTGTCAAATTGGGCCAAATTGTGTGTGTGTGTCAGTGAGGTGATACTGGGGACAATTCAAGATTTGCTGCTGCATATTAAAGATGTTCCGTGCTCTGTCTGTTGACCAGGGCCTCCTGCCGGTGTTTTAGACGTTTGTGAAGCATGTCTTGGGGGCCAAGGTAATTATAGTCGTTCCACTGAAGCATGACAAATGGCCTCTCACTTTGAATTCCTTTGTGGGAGGGGAACGTCTTCCATGACAACAGCCCTGGAACTTAATTACAGGCTCCCGATCTGGGCTAAGAGTGAAGACAGTCAGGATGTATTGAAGAGACGAGAGGCAAGTGTGCAGGCCTACCTGGGCAGAGTCAGCCCTGAGCAGTGTGGCCGTCATCCCAGCTCGGTGGAAGTCAGGAGAGCTGACTGCTTGCTGGATGCTGTACTTCATATACACTCTCTCACTGAATTCTCACAGCATATCTTGTAAGATGCAGGTGATGGCTGTGATATTTTCTGTTTTTATAAAGGATGAGTATTGAGAGGCCCCTGCAAGACGTATTCTAGATAACCTGTTTCAGATTATTCAGCCAATAGTTGTCAGAGATGGGAAATTGAACCTCGTGGGCTCTTTCATTAATTTAGTACCTGTTTTGACTTTGTGTTTTGAGTGTGTGTTTGAGGTTGGGCCTCCTTCTCAGGATTATTAGTGTGATGACGTCAGTCACAGCAAACTGACATGTCAATCAATAATTCTGCATGGTAACAAGGGCAATGAAGAAGGTGTTATCCAGATGGTTGTAAGTGCTGTGGGCAAGAGAGTGGGCTACTTTGCACAGGGTTGGGAGTGGGGAGCCCCTGTCAGGTGATACTTGGGTGGAACCCTGTGTGGCAGAGTGGGAGGAGCCATGGCAGGGTCTCGGGGGAGGGCATTTATGTAGAGAGTCTGCACAGCAAACCCTGGGGGGCTTGAAAGAGCTTGGCTTGCTCTGCAAACAGTGACCGGCAAAAAGAAGACCCGTGTCTGTAGTGGAGCCAGAGAAATGGGCAGGTGCAGGTTGACACAGGGCCTGACCAGCCACAGTATGATGTTGGTATTTGATTCTCCAGGGAGGGGCAGGGGTAAGACATTGTAGGACTTGTGCCTGAGTGTTAACATCTCCTGTCTCCAACACCAACTTCCCTCACCTCTGTGAAGGAGCAAGGGACAACCGTGCGAAGAGCTTCCTGCAAGTTCTGTTAAGGGACAGAATTCTAGATTCATCAAAGAACAAGACTGAAAGGAGAGGATGTCTAGTCTAAGCCTCTGACTTTAGGTATAGAAAAACCTAGCAGGTCCGAACCAACTATCTGGGCTCTATTTAAAGACCTACATGAAGGGAATCACTTCCTGTGTCTTGGGGTTACCTCGCAATGCACAGGAAGTGGTCCTCTGGGGGCTGAGCGAACTCTAGGGGAGGTTGTTCTTGCTTCCATAAACTAATCTGCTCTGAAATAAGACATGCCAGCTCCAGGGCCTTGGTTTCTTGGGAATTTACACATCTGTGCAATATGTCCTTGTGTGTGTGTGTGATGATTTTTATCTATTTGTGAAAAATTGCTATTTTTGAAAAATTTGAGGTGCAGAGAAAAACAAAGAGACAAAAGAGAGGACACTTCCGTCCACTGATTCACTTCCTCAGTGAAGGCTGGGGCTACACCCCAAGGCCAAAGCCAGGAGCCAGGGACTCAATCCAGGTCTTCCCCATGAATGGCAGGAGCCTAATTCACTGAGCCATTGCCATAGCCTTCCAAGGTCGATGTTAGCAGAAAGCTTATGTCAAGAGCCAGAGACAGGCATTGAACTCCAGTATGGAATGCAGGTGTCTTAATCACTGGACTTAAATGCCTGCCCCTGAGAAATTATTTTTCAATAACCCATTAATTTTTTAATCTATAGATTGTAACTTTTCTGATGAGGTGACAGTATATCTGGAATTTTGTTGTAAACTCAGTGACTTCATTTATTTTATTTGTGGTTTGGGGAGCAGAAGCACTGATGTTGCTATTGGTCTTTGCCACATAAAGGATGAGATCGGTTAAAAGTCCACTATTCCAAGTTAGTGGACAAAAACTTATGTTGGCAAAAACTATTAAGAGCCAATGCCCATTGTAAGTCAACATACCCAGCCTGTGTATTAGAATAGTGATGGGGAGGGCACTTGATGCAAAGCTAGCAGAAGCCAGAGTTAACATTTAGGAGTGAATTTGTGCCTGTTGGCTGATTTTGTATATGTAGGTTCCTGACAATACAGATCCAACAACATGGATTGATTTGTATGACACATGCCTTGGAGAGGTTTAGTTGATCTCTGGGATATGGGGCACCCAAGAGCAACACACTAGTTATGTAAAAACTTGACTTAAGTTACACCATGCAATGGAATAGGGCGCAGGAAGTTTGCAACTCTTGACTTAATTTTTATTTGTAGATAGTATTGTTTCTTGGGAAGAAAGCATGCCCACACCATTTTACTGGGTGAGGTTAGAAAATTTCTAACAGGAGCTGGGCCTGTGAAGCTACTGGCTCTTGGCTCAGCTTGGCTCAGCACTAGCCCTTGCAGACATGTGGGGAAGTAAACCAGTGACTGAAAGAGTGAGTGGTTTCTCTCTGCCTCTGTGTGTGTCCCTCCCTCGCTCTGTAACTCTTTCCAAATAAATAAATAAGTCTTAAAAAAAAAAAGAAAAAGAATGAAACAAAAAACAAAAGCTCTAAGAGGACAGATTGCCTAGAAAGTGCAGGGTGTCAAAACTATCTCCTTACCAAAAGATGCTGAGCGAGAGAGCCGTGAAGCTTCCCTACAGAATGACAATTTGTGATGTGGGGAGAACTGCCCCCTCCCCTGACTACTTAAGCTATAATATGTTTGAGCACAGTCTTGTGATAGGGAGCTCAGGGGGACGTGTAATCATCAGGTCAGAGTTCTAAATCCTGCTGTCAGCCCCGGGATTGTTGAGGTGACTGAACAAGCAGATTTCCTCCATTGTCTGCTTTTTTGATGAAGAACAACCCCTTGCTCTCTATTCTCTCACAAGCCTTTCACTCGAGCACTTCTGATTGCTAAGAGATTTCTGGAAATGTTCTCAGGCACAGGCTGCAGAGCATTCACTGACCCGGTGCAATTTCAGGGGACCCTCTGTGTCTCTGCCATCAGACTTGGCTTTTTAGGAGTGTCCTGGGATGGGCTATGCACATTTCCAGAGTTCATGTGACAGGCATCCTTACCGCTTTGCATCTTAACAAGTCTGTATAGTGGCTAGAGATCTGATTGGAAACCGTGTGATAAATTACATGTTTATGATGTCAAATAAATATGTTTGAAAGGATTACTAGAGGGTACAATCAAGTTAATTTACTTTAAAAATCTTTTTTGATCTGTTAGGCTCTATGAAAATGGTAGAGCAATTGATTTAGCTATGGAAAGTAGGGGGTGAAAGTGGTATTGAGCCCACAGGGTTTCCATGCATGCCGCCTCCCTCTAGTCCATGGAACTGTCCAGAAATGCATTTGGGAAGTCCCCAGAGACAAAATGCAAGCACTGCTGACAGTCTGTTTGCTCCTCCACCGCAGACACACGTTGACAGTTTGACGTGCCTGCTGACGGATTGATTTCTTTCTTTTCATTTCAGATGCTGAGGAATACCAGCCGCCAATATGGAAATCTTACTGTGAGTACCCAAAATGCAAAGTGCCCCTCCACAGTCCTGAGGGGTTGCCCCTTGGAATAATTCATGTTGTACCTGCACTAAACTGAGCCCACAGTCAGGGAGCACTTACTGCTTACCCTTCTCTAACCAGGACCTGTAAGAACCCAATGCCAAGTCCATGATGGTTCTCTGACTTCCTGTTTGGGGTGATGGTTTGCTTTTGTTTTGCCAATTGTGTCCAGTGGATCCAGGAGAAATGTGTTGACTTCCCTAAGTTGTGTGCTTGGCTGACAGATCAGGTAAAGGCTGTGATCTCAGACAGTGTTAACCCATGAAAAGTTAGCAAATCACAAGGAATGATGGGCGACCTCACTGCCACACACTTCAGCTACTCTTGTGAAGGCTGGCATGTGACTTCACTCCAGTCTGTTCGTCTTCCTCCTGGCTATCACCGTCCAGCTCAGAAGCTGTCCCTTGAGACAGGGCAGGATGGTGGGAAGCTGCAAAACCCACTGTGCTGACAAGCAGAGCTGCAGCTGCTCATTCGGGCTCGCTTCTAGGCGGGAACGTGAGAACAATTATCTATGTGGTTACTGATGCTGCTGTGGCTGCTACTGCTGGCCAGCGGCTGCAGAAAGAGGCTGCAGCCCAGATTCTCACCAAAGCCCTTAGAGACAGGTGTTGATATCATCTCCATCACACACAAAGAAACTGTGGCTCAGGGGTGCTAAGCAAGGTTTCTGGAGACATGGGCAGTGGCATTCAGAGCAGGACCTACAGGTCAGCATTGTGATGCAATGGCTAAGGATACCACCTGTGGCATCAGCATCCCATGTGGGTGCTGGTTCACACCCCAGCTGCTTTTCTTCCAATTCAACTCGCTGCTAAGGCACCTGGGAAAGCAGTAGATGCTGCCCAAGTACTTGGGGCCCTGCACCTGCACATGGGAGACCCAGATGAAAACTGGTTTCAGCCTGGCCCAACTTTGGCCACTGCAGCTATTTGAGGGAGTAAAAGAATGAAAAATTCTCTCTCTCTTGCACACATCCTGCTTTTCAAATGAATGAAATAAACCTTTTAAAACAGAACAGCAAAGTTGGACCCAGAGGCAAGCCTGACTCATCACCTGAAAATCTCCAAGTTCTCATTCTTCTTATTAAAATTTTTTTTAATTTTTGTATTCATTTGAAAAGCAGCACAGAGAGAGAGAGAGAGAGAGAGAGAGAGAGAGAGAGAGAGAGAGAGAGAGAGAGAGAGAGAGAGAATGGAGAAATCTCCCATCCGTGGGTTCATTCTCATTCCCATAGTGCCTGCATCACCTGTGACTGAGCCATGCCCAGGCTGAGAGCCTGCAACTTAACCCAAGCCCCCTACGTAAGTCACAGGGACCCAGACACTTGAGCCATCACTGTGAACCCCAGGATCTGCATCAGCCCAAAGCTAGAATTTGAGGGGAGCTGAACTTGAACCCATGCATGCTGAGGTGGGATGTGTGCATTCTAAGCAGCGTCCTAATTACCATGCTGTAAACCCACCTCTGAAATTGCATACACACATAATAAATACATATGTAGTGTACACCCACACATGTATATTTGTTACAAAATAGCATGTAATGTTGCAGTGTTTTTTTACAAGACAATTTCTTTTCTACATGAAAGAGAAACATTAGAGAAAAATAGAAAGTCAAGAATCAAATGTCCCATCATGCACAAGTCAGCCGTCCCCAATTCAAATCTCCTTTCCCCTTCCCCAGTAACTGATTTCCTTTGGGGAAAGTACAGCCCCCAGTTACTTAAAAGAAAAACGAATTTCGTACTGAGACACTTTTGCTGTGGTCTCTGCTTTCATTTTTGCCAGATACCTCTGTGCTGGACCTGCTGTCCTTCAACTTGCCCCTTCCCAAATATTTTGCTTCTGCCTCCCTGTGCCAGCCCACCCTGCCTGTGCCAGGCACCTGCTTCTTTATTTCCCGAGTCTGTTCTTCCATCTGTGAAATAGAGGGGTTGTGCTGGGTCCCCAAGGGCCTTTCCATCCAGGGCTCTGCACTCTGATCTTCGATTTTAGAAGGCAGTGCTAATGACTTAGTAATTGGATGTTTTTGTTTGTTTGTTTCCTAATGGACTGTGAAGTACTCTGACAGTAAATCAACCAGATATCTGCAGTGAGAGGTACTGGGCGTTCTGTGACTTACGATGCCTTACACACGGCCTTGCACACAGCCTTGCACACATGAACTACCAATAAATATTTCTTTATATGTGAGAGCTTTACTGAAGCAAGAAGATGGCATTAGCTCCAATGAATTTCATCTTTTTCTAAAAGACCTGGAGCCACCCAATATATCTTTTTAAAGCACATCTATGTCTTAAGGAAACTTGAGAACAATTGCTAATTACCTGTTCACAGTATTGATTTTTACCTTAGCTTTTTTTTTCTAATTAAACCAAGTTGTGGGTTTCTATTTTGCTGTAGAATCACAAAACTTTATCTGTGAAAGGAAATGTTTGAGGCTGTAAACTAAGGGTTAGTGACACTCTTCTGTCACACAGACAACCTAAAGCTGTGCAGGTTCTTTCTGAGGGCCTTCAGTGGTGTGGAGCTCCCAGAAGTGTGGGGACCTTGCTACCCCAGGCAACAAAAACATGTTGCCCACACCCTGCAGTACCACGCTAGGGAAGGAGTCTGCTTTGGTTGTCCTAGACCTGCAAAGTCTTTAAGTCTGGATGGTGCACTGGGTCTGCACGTTCTCAGACTTGTGTCTTGCATCCTTTTAGTCTTTCAGCAAGTACTTTCTGAATACCAGAGATGACTTGAGAAGAGTCAGCGATGGATCAAATGTGGTCCACATGGTTCTCCAGTTTACATGCTAGTAAGGAAGGGAGTTGTAAATGGATAAATTGCAAATAGACTTTAGTAACAAAATAATACCTCTCTAGCTGCTGGAACTGGGGAAGAGGTTAAACTTGCTTGTGGGTGTTGAAAGATGACCAGGAGAAGACATCCAAGAACCTTGCAGAATATCCTGAGATGTTTTCAGAAAGTCAGATATATGAGGTAGGCATTGACGCTGCAGTGAGATGTTGCATGGGGTGCCATGTCCTATGTTGGGGTGCCTGGGCTTGAGTCCTGGATCCATTTCTGGTTGCAGCTTCTGGCTATGACTTACACTGGGAGACAGCAGGTGACAGCTCAAATAGTTATGTCCCTGACACCCACATAGGAGACACACATCGAATGCCTTCAGCCTGGTCCAGCCCAGCTGTAGTGAGCAATCGGGGAGCAAACTCGCAGGTGGGAATACTTCACTCTCGCTGTGTCAAGTAAAATAAAAATAATTTTTAAATATGCTAAAATGATAGCATCCTGCCAATCTGAAAATCCAGCAAAGTTATCAGAATATAGCATTTATTTTAAATAGCCTGTTGGTAAACCCATTATGAACTAACTGTGGGAATTACCTAGCTCTTGTCTTTGAAATGCTCACAAATCATCCTTGGGGGAGAACGGTTTTCTATATTCATGTCAAACTCGTTAGCAGAACACTTATGGTATCCATATTTGTCCTTCACACACTTATACTAACTTTAGCAGGTTTTTGGCACTATCAAGTCTCTTATAGCTTTACTAATTGGAGCACATTTTTTTTTGCACCATAAGTTTAAAAATTCCTGGTTTGCAATGATTGTAGACACATACCAGAGTAACCCTGTATTTACTTTTACTTTCATTGACTATTGTTGGCTATTTGATATCAGATTTTATTATGAAATATTAATTCCAATTATGAGATTATTTCTATTTAAAATTTGTTTAGCTTACTTGAAAGATTTGTGGGGTAGTGGAAGAACAGAGAGAGAGAGAGAGAGAGAAATCTTCCATCTGCCGTTTCACTCCCCAGGTGGCCACAACAGTCAGAGCTAAGCCAGTCTGAAGCTGGCACCCAGGAGCTTCTTTGCAGTTTCCCATGTGGGTGCAGTCTTTGGCCCATTCTCTGTTGCTTTCCCGTGCCATTTACATAGATCTGGACTGGAGGTGGGATAACTTTCTTCTAGATATAATCTCATGGAGCTGGTGCAACCATGTATCAGTCTAATCTGCCTGACACCAGTATCCCATTGCTTCATTTATTTATTTATATATTTGTGATGTAGAGAGACAGGGGAGGAGAGAACTCCAGTGTGTTCATTTACTGCCCACATACAAGTTGGGAACTCTATCCAGGTCACCAGGTAAATGACAGGAACTCAGTTACCTGAGACATCACCACTGCCTCCCAGAGTTAGTCAGGAGACTCAGGCACACCAGTTGGGGACATGAGCATCTTGAGCACCAGGTCAAACATCCATCCCCTGTGTAGGGTTTAATGCTAACTGCAGAGCTCTTGGTTGCAAGCAACAGAATCATCCGCTCAGTCCAGTTGATTGACTTAAGCAAGAAAGTCCAGAGGTACTTGTTCCAGCCACTTAAATGACAATGGCATAACCCTGTTTGTATCTCTTCTTGATTCTACCTCCTATATTTGTCTTTGCAGTTTGTATAGTCTTCTCTTGTGAACCCCAGATAACCATTAGGATTAGTGTTTTCTCTATCAAAAGCAGTCAGCAGAGACAATGCATTTTCTTGACACTCCAAGCAGCGTCACCATCGGATTACCATTGTTTGGCCTGACTTACCTGTTCAGAGAACTGGAATATGCTAACTGCTGTAAACCAATCCAGACTCATTACTGTTCTCAGGGGAGGATCCATTCTATATCACATGGATTAAAAAGTTGGAGTAGTGTCTGAAGGAAGAAAAATGGAAATCGATTCCCGGGAAGCAAACCACTTAGAAATGTAGAAGACTTTAGGAATGTAGAAAAGAAGAAACTTTAGAAGTCAGCCATCTCAATATTTTATACCATGTATACTGTTCATCAATGCACTCACTCACTCAGCAAATGCACATCACATCTCTACTTAGTTAGATCTCTGGCTTAAGTTGGTTCACAAGATTGAAGTTCTGATCATAAGGATGGG